TCGTAATATTAAAGAAATTAAAAGTATCTACAATATGCAAAGAGTATTAACCCAGCCAACGTTCTGCCTATGCTATTGTACCAATTCATTTGTGACTAATGAAGAATCCACTGATGAATGTAACACATATTCCAAAAATAAAATAGCTATAATTTTTAAAATAGTTACCCTTCTGAAATTGGTAGAGTATCTCCACTACATCTGGACATAACAGAAGTTAAATGTCAAATGTACTTGACCTGGAACTGGTTTAATAGCATTTTTTTTTCAGTACTCTGAATATAGCACTACTTACTATGTAAGTAACAAAGTGTCTGAACTATCACTAGTAGAAAATGACTGCAAGTGTGCCGTTAGTAGACATGAACAAAAACAGGGAGTGTCACAAGTTCAGACTGCTGCATTATTATCACATTTGGGAAAAGTTTCAAAAAGCTTTATTTTTATGAAGAAATAATGTGTATAAAATAGGACAATAAAAAAGTATTAAGCAATAATCTTTACAGGCAGCTAAGCTGCAAATTTTGGATATACTAATATTTATGAAACCCCACACTGCAGTACTGAACTTTCCTCATGCAAACTGTAACTACAGAATTACTCAGGTGAATGATGCATGAATAAACATGAGTTTCTTAAACATTTTATGCATATTTTGGATCAGAGCCATACTCTGAATACGTACAGCAGTTCTCAAGAAAACCACATTTGTGGACAGTCTCAGCTTGACATGCCGGTGTTAGGACAACAGATGACCATTTAAGATAATAAATTATGATCTATAAAAAATTAATTTAGAAAAAGAAGACTTGTGCAACAGCATCTGTTTTCACCAAACCAGGACAAGTGAATTCCTTGTACCTCAATAATTTGAATTTTTCTCTTTCCCTGTTCATCATAGCACGAACAAATCATGTAGGTTGTACCTCCAGGGGTCATCCAGTCCAAACTCCTACTCAAAGCAGGTCCAGCTGCAGCAGGTTACTTTGGGGTCTGTCCACTGAAGTTCTGAGTATCTCCAAATATAGACACTTCAAAGCCTCTCTGGACAGCCTGTTTTAGTGTTTGGTGACCCCTGAGTTGAGCCAAAAAGCTTCCTGTGTTCCTACATTTCTCCTTTGCCTCTCATCTCTGAGATAGGCACATCTCTGAGAAGAGCCTGGAATCATCTTCTCAGTGTACTAGGTAAACACTTGCTAATCTGGCCCAGGATGAAGTTGAAGAAGTTGATCACCTATGCTGCAAGAGAACACTACTGATTCACAGTCAGCACCAAGACCTCTGGGTATTTTTCTACGGAGTTTAACACCAGCCTGTTTTGCTGCACAGGATTACTCCATTCCAGATGCAGGACTTTGCACCTTGTTGTTGAACTTTATGAGGACCGAATCAGCCCACTCTTCCTGCCTGCAGCACCTTAGATCTTCTTATATATAAGAACTTCAATTAAATACACTTGACAAGGGGAAGAGGTTTGATGGTGTAAAACTGCAGAATAAGATGTCATAGATGTCTTCCACCCTTGAATCAGGATTTCTATCCTAAAACCAACAAAACTTCTGCTTTGTGATTGAGATTTCAGTGTTTGTGTCTATTCTGATGCTGTTCAGACCACAAAGATTTAAAAAAAAAAAAAAAAAAGGAAACCAGAAAACGCCATATCCTAGGACAAGGGATCCCCAAACTTAGTATAGTCCAATCTTGGAAAAAAAAATTCCTGGAGAATTTATTCTAGCACTGTTTGTTACCACAATGCTGGCACATTCCTTCGAAGAATCTCATAACTAGCTGTCATCAGACCCAGAACAAATAATTAGCTGGGTCTACACACTACAGATTTGATTTAACAGGGCAGAATCTATGTTCCTAACAGAAAAATAACACAAAATGACAAAACACTCCCAACTGAGCAGCCCAATCCCCTGCATATACCAAGCTATATTTTCAACCTTTCCTAAACTTTTAAAAGCAATTCTCTTCAAACAGTTAGGTTTCTTTCGGTGAAGGCCATGTAGCAATTTTTATAACACAGATGTAATACATAAAATATATATTGAAAACAAAGAAAGATTAGACTTTAGTAAACGTGACTAGAAAAATGCTGAACTAGAACAACATACACAAGACACAAGAGCACAGAGCCTTAAAGACAGCATTATTACGTATAAATCCCACCAGCATGCATTTACTGCACTGAAATACGCTGGTAGTTAGTTCAGTCTAGCAATGGAAAGTAATTAAGACCAAAGTCCAAAAAAGTATCTAAAAGTTCTCTATGAAGGAACAGTTCTAACATCTATCTGAAGTTAATCAAAGAAGAAATCATCTCAGCACTGATGAAGAGTGAGGAGGAATGAATGATTCAGTGAACTAATGTAAATCAAAATCTTATAGCTGCCTTAGTGTTTTTCAAATGGAAATGAGGCTTTTTATATCACATTGATTTGGATTCCAGAGGCAAACTGCTTGCCCTGTTTCTCTGAAAATAACTGACTGAAATGTATTAAAAAAAAAAAAAAAAAAAAAAACAGAATAAATTTCCAATCACTCATATAATACTTTTCCAAATTATATGTGTATAAAATACACATATAAAGTCAGGTCCAAACATCCACATTACAACCATAGTTCACAAGAGGTACAAGGAATCCTGTGTCCTTGAAATAAGGTAATAATGAATATCTGGTATTTTTGAGGATTATAAACATCCCTTTTGACTTTACATATACAGCTTATTTAAGTAGTTAGAAAAACTACGTAACTCACACATCAGTAAAGAAAGAATCATTTATAAGCTTATCTGCTTTGAAAAATAAGTAAATATAATTTGTTATTGTCGCCATTGCGTAAAACACTAGAAATGCATTTTTTTCAGATGAACCACTACAGTCAACTTAATCTAGACTATTATCCCATTACTGGATAGTTAAATCAAAAACATGTTAGAAATTAAAGTACATGATTAAAATAACAAATCTTTGGAATTTGTTATACAATTTTATAAAATTAATTTCCCCACAGTGGTCCCTTCAAAAGACTCAGGCATATAAAATCTATTCTACTGCTATGAATCCCATTAAGAAGGCGTAGCAGGCACACACCCCACCCCTGATGAAAACAGGGCTTCTTGGCTGCTGAAGTGGAGCAGCTATTGATTTCCTTTTTCCATGCCCTTGTTCCCAGGGCTTCACAGTAGCTGGGACATCGGACCAATGGGAGCTGCTACTGGCCACGGATCAGATTCATCCTGGGTATAAATGGAGGCCCTTAGGGGAGCTATTTTGCACTAGTCTGCCCTGGAGCAGCACACTGGGATCAAAGACTCTCCCCTTGGGTCGGGATGTTGCACAGTGAAACTCCTTGAGGTTACTTGAATCAGGACGCTGCCCTGAGAAGTTCCTCGAGGCTGAGTGTCCTCACTTTTACGTGAGTGATAGATCATTTGGTCGTCATTAAACCCCAGGCTGTTCTGTGACAGGGCGTTCTGGGTTGTTGTTAAACTCTAGGAAGCAGTGTTTTGTCCTCTCATGGGCATTCGAATCTGCTGTTGAATGGTTGTAGAGGGCTAGTTAATTATGTTGATGATAAATTTTTAATTTTAGGTTACTGTTTGTTTATTTGAGAGCCTCCGTAAGAGAAAGCAGCTATTCTATTTAGAATTTGAAAGCATTATAGTCAAAATTAAATCTACTTGGATTAGTAAAATTCAGGTATATATGAGACTAGAAATGAGAAGGTTGTTACAATGAGATTGAAAATAAATAATAAAAAAGACAAGAAGTCTAACAAATTAATGACTTGCTATATTAACCTCATGTACTGCTAGTACATCAGATATATAAAGCTCTTTTCCCCATTACAAAACCCAAATATTCTTTAAACATCAATATTCTACAACTGTGTCACGTTTTCCATCCCCAATCTACAACAGTTCCCTTCCAGCCATCACTGAATTTAAATATTTCTGGTATGACAAATGCTGAGAAAAATAAATTCTTAGAGCATGGAAAAGAATCTTCCTTTCATGTGAACAATATTCACAAATTTCCTTGGCCACTTTCCCAGTTCATCTGAATAGGACTTCTGCTCTTCAGATATTCACATACAATGTTCTTCATACTTTTACGTCAGAGAAACCCCCCCTAGACAAGAACTGCTTCTAATTTGTGTAAGGATTTCCTTTGTAGACTTACAAAAAAACCTGCAACTTCACAGAATTTAAACATTTAAAAATAATTTAAGTGGGAAAATTAAATTGCATCTCTTTATTTGACAAGGTACTATTTTTAGGCCTAATCCTTCGTTTATACACACACAGAGGTGTCCTATTATGCACAGCCCCAGTGAATGCTGCTGCATGAATGCTGATAACTTACGTAAAGGAGAGAAGAAATATAGCTGCTAGAAGTATTTTAGTTTGTGAAGGAGACATGAGGAGAGAAAGCATCCAGGAAATTAGCTGTTAAGTTCATAACAATCAAATCCCAAATCAAATTCACAACTGCATCAAAGCAACACAGGTTCAGTCTCAAGGTTTCATACCAGAATTTAAGTTCCTATACTCCTAATTAAGGTCATGTTCAGAAGAAAAAAAAAAACAAACTAATTAACTTAAAACCAACCCAACTGAGAATGAGGTACAAGCCTGTTTAAATTAACCATATGTATAAATGTCACAGCCTTAAGAGGCTCTTCAAACGTTTTAATGAGTGATGACAGAGCACAAAAAAATACACATTTCATTCTATTCATCTGTGCAGTGTCTGACAACAGAAATTACATGTGATCATGAAGTTAAAGATATTTCAGTTCTCTTAAATATCTCCAACTACCCTTAATTGCTGAGATTATTTTTTTTGAGTGAAGACACATTCAAGAATTCTGATATTGATCTATAGATTTTATCTATATTTTTAGAAGAAAGAATAAAGCTAACAAGATCCAAAGTTATCTGTACTCAATAAAGATAGGACTATAATGCACCTTTACGTGACCTTTACCTGTTTCTACATCTGTTAAATGCAGCATGGAATCAAAGCCTCCACTCAGGATCCTTCTTCCACAAGATGACCAACAGGCAGCTCGAACAGCACAGGAGTGACAGGAGTAAGTTTTTAAACAGCACCCTGTATCTACAGCATCCCATACCTTGAAAAGAAAGATAAGGACAACTTGTAAAGAATCACAGTACATTTTTCAGGGTACTGATAAGTAGCTGTAGCAAATCATTGGGTCTGAGAAAGCTTTGCATTCTGAAGTTGTATCGGCTAAGTTGTAAAAATCTTTTTGAAATAATTGCATGGTTGATTAGAATTAGGGCATTTTATTAACACGGTAAAAATCAGTAATACATTTATGACTTGAATTCTTTCTTGAAATGTCTACACTATCCTCAGTGGCAATTAATGTTATACTTTTCCATTCATAATGCTGTCCTACCTCTGTGCAGGGATGTATCAAGATAAATTTTCCCTTTAAATAATTTTTTTTTCCAAATTTTTGTCTCTATCATATCTTGCTTTCCATCAAGTAAGAGGAATACTAGCAGATTACAGCTTTCACATCTGCCTATAGATAGGCTATTATCATATTTCTCACTCAGTTTGTAAATTAGGTAGAATTTTACCTTAACTTCACTGAGGAGACAGATAAGAGTATCATCATGCAGCCACACAGAGATTTCTGAAGACTGGTCTAAGTCCTCTCATTTTTCAGTTTCTTCTAGACAGAATTAGATTGATGCTGAGCACTTCTAAAAATCCTATTCTACTGTTATCCAATTCTTTAAAATTATATAACAACTAATATTTTCAGAACGTAAGTAGTTCTGCTCATATTTTTTTAATAATTTTTAAAGAGAAAGGTAATTGTTTCCAAATAAAATATTTTAGAAAATAGAAATAGTTTGAATTACAATTTCAGTTAACAAAAATATTTCACAATAATCAAAACCGCATCCTTTCATGGTGCTCCTTTTGTCATAGTTTTAAGATAAAATTAGAAGTTTAGCAACAAATGATGCATATAAAGATCCAGTCTGCTTACTTACATAAGAGAAGTCTAAGCATCAAAATTATTTTCCTATGAATATTCTGCTTCAGTAAAAGCTAGACTATAAAATATCTTATGATTATGCAATAAAATACCTGTTGAGTTGTTTAACAAAATGTGTAACAAATGCTAGAACCATACCAGTAAATCCTACATTTATTACTTCTAATATTAGCGGTACAAATAAATCAACACTTTGACAGTGTTTCATGATAGTTTTATTGCAGTTTCAGTAAATCCAAGGCAGTTCATTGCTGTAAAGTCACTATTTTACTACATGGTACTTCTCTCTTTGAGATGAGTCATTTTCAGCGTGCAAAAATCTGCAGGATGAAAACAACACTGCCTATGAGCTTAGAAGGTTATTCTGATTTTTTTTTTCTATTTTAATCAATTTCTCAATTGTAAGATTGTTTATCTAATGTTGGGAACAGACTAGGCAATTAACAGAATACAAAAAATGACTTTTTTAAAGTGAGATCAAATTAAACCTTCATGTATGTCACCATAAGAGCACTGAACATAGTACCAAAATAAAACTGACTGCATGTTTGTGCATATTAAAGGATGTTAAAAACAAAACAACTTGTTAAATCAGAAAAGATAAGTAGATGTTTGCTTTCTTGTGGCAACAGCACAATTCCCAATACAGGAGAATGTAAAGGGGAGAAAAAAGCAAGACTTTTGATAATGTATTTTTATCTTCAACTCTATTTTCTTCTTACTGGACAAAAAGGACTCACTGACAATATCATTATTATATAGTCCACACTCAGAAGACAACATTCCATTACAGAAAATTATTTCATCAAACTATCTTCTAGAACAGAGCATAGTTCTGCAATGCAAAGCAACCAATTACCATTAATTGGATAGTCAGTTAAGACTGGAACCGTGATGGCCATACCCTAAGTATTCTACCCTATTCACAAGAAAAGAAATCAGGAAAATTTTAATATTGAACTGCTTTTGAAATTAAGTTTCTCTGCTTTAATGATTTTTAATGATCATTTCAAGCTTCACAGTATTAAAAAAGGGTTAACTGTGTCTTAGAGGGCTTTTAATATGAGGAAGCTAATGAATGAATCAAGATGAAAGGAAAACCAGGTAGTACATGCTTCAGATATTTTTCTGTCATGTTTTACTGATTAAGTATGAAAACTCAATTTTCACAAGAAGGATGAAGTAAAGCAAGTTCAACAGCACTTCTGAGTTCCCATTTGATTTAAAAAAGCTGTATAAAAGGAAAAAGCACACGTCTAAAGCTGCAAATTTCTCTCCATTATATGAAATGGAACAAACAATCAACTCTCATGGAAGAGACCACTGACCACGCACAAGGGACAAGTTACCGAAGATCACATTTCTCTCCACCGTTACGCCTTCCATCAGCTCTTTTTGCTCAGGTAATGGCAGTGCTGCAATGCCTTTGGGAGTTACAGCTGCATGGGCAAGGCAGGCTCGACTGAGGAAATTCACTTAGTTTATTGCCAATTAACTTAAACTTTTAATTGCAGATTCAGGTATTGAGGAAACAAGATCAAGAGGGATACAAGCACTTAGGGCAGCACCTTCCCTCCCTAGGCCCCCTTAAGTCCAGTGCTACTCCTGCCCTATTCTCATACAAGTTTCACCTTTTTTCACTGGGTGTTATGCTTGGTCCCTTCCACATCCCTTCAGTGAGACAACAGCCATTGCAGGAAGCAGGGGTCAGGGCCTAGAGGTTTCTTGTTGCCTCTCCTTGCACCTTACTCTTTCTCACCTGCTATTCTTTGCTTCTTACTGCTCCTCTGCTCCCTCTCTCCAAGCGCACACCTCTTCCCCATCTCCTCCCATTGCCTTCTGTGTGTCCTCATATTTCTGCAGATGTGACCTTGTGGCTTTCCCCTTTCTTCAATATGTGTGAACAGAGGCACCACACGCTCCTCTGAAGTTTTGGCCCACAGTGAACTGTTTTCATCCATTTCTGAGCAAGCTGGAACCAGCTGCAGCAGCACAGGGCAGCTCACAACCTCCTCCCACACAGGCCACCCCTGCAGCCCCTGCTACCAAACCTCACAGTCAATGCTTAGTACAAGCTGTCAGTTCAGACAGAAGAGTTAGCACAGACCTCCATCAAGATGTGGTCCAATGCAAATTCACTGGAGGCTACAAATGTGCTTTTAAATAATGCTGAGAGGTGCCACATCTGCTGTGGCTTCACAGCAGAAAGAAACGTCAAACAAGGCAGCAGAAGATGGCAGACTCTGTCCTGCTGTGCAGTGGTAAGGCCCTGCAAGCTTCATTTGGGCACATCCAATCCTAGGTATGGTTCCATATGACCTGCCCAGGATTTTCCTTCAAGTCTCATACCTGGTGAATTTAGCTCAGTGTAATTTTGATACGTTAGTGTGTGCCCTGCTGTAATGAGGATACGGTGCAGTGCATCCCCTGGAGAACAATTCAGAGTTTTAAGTTTCAATATTCATCATCCAGAGGAAAAGCGAAGCTCTACTTACTATCTGCAAGAAGTGGTTTTTGATATTTACAGTTAGCTCTTCAGCAATCACTTAAGAGATGCAGCCATGCCCACAGAGAATCATACAAAGGTGAACCATTGCATATCAAGAAACAAAAAAGGGTGTGCAGAACTGAAAATAAGACAATTAAAGAACAAGCTATGTACCTTCTGTACAAATAAGAAATTATCAACAGGTGGGAGCTGTGAAAGCTCAGCTGTAACACAACGCCTGCCCCAAGTTACAAAAACCATTCTGTGTCTAGAAGTGAGAGAGATGTTAACCATATTACACCCACAAATGGAGAATTACTATATGTCATTACCAAGGAAAAATGCTTCAAATCCAATCAGAGAATCATTGCAAAACCACCATCGAGTCTGCATTTTCTTAGAGAGTCTCTTAAGTAGTTCCCTATTACTGTGTATTTCTACGCTTAATAATAAGGAGAAAAAGTGGCTAGAGGGAGAGTTCCAACATATTCTATCCAAAGACTGAGATTAATGTCTGCTCAGTAGCTGGTGCTTACTCTGTACAGGCAGCCACTGTCATTAAAAAAGGAGAGAGGCTGCAAAGGGATAAGTCCTTTGCAAGTAAATTTGCTTCTCTCTGCCTAACACTGAGATGTCAGATTAACAGTTTCTCCAGGATGAAAGGTATTTCAGGGTTTTTCTGTCAACTGAGATAGCTGAGTTCTTCAAAAATAATTTGTCTGGAAACTGTTTTTTTCTAGTCTTTCTGTCTTTACTTTTATGCTGGCTCAAACTAGGATAGAACAATAAGCCTGAAAGACTGCATGGGCATAACCAGCGGAGATGATGAAATGATTTGCATCCCAAAAAAACATCCAACATGATGCCTGAACCCAGAAGCATGTACCCTAATTCACCAAGGTCAATAATAAACAGACACTAAACCGTTTTAGAGCATGGCAATTCTGCAAGCAATATAGAACTATTTCACTATACAGCCACCAGACTCCAGTCTCAAAAGAAAATTTTTACAGGGCCTGGTACTAAATGGGACAAGAGACTCCCCTAGGAATTAGGACCATTAAAAACTTCCTATTTCAAGTGAGTGAAGTTATTGATCATGCCTTCTCTGCTAAAAAGGAAGATGAATTACAGACCCTTTACCAAAGAAGGATCCCAAACTCATTCTTCTGAGTGGCATCTACATAGGAGCTCAGAAAAAGGATTTGCATATGGCTGAAGGCAAAGGCCACAACACTAATTTAAAAAGTCATGGTTGTTAACAACCATGTTACAGTTTTAATTTCACAGTAAGTGTTTTTAAGAAATTAAGTGTCTTAGAACTATTTAGAAAGTTTTATTTTAAATACCAAAGGCTGAACTTTAAGCATATCTGGCAATAAATACCTTTAAAATAAAGGTTTATAAAATAAAATAATAGATTTACATGGAATAAAGGCTTACATATTTAGTACATAATAAATTACTTGGGCAGGGGGAACAGTTCATTAAAAAATACACAGGCTGAGATATATCTTCCTTCATAGGTATTTAAACATGTGCAGCAAGTATTATAGGACTAGATGCTATCACGCATCTGTCAAAGGAAGACAGATTTATATTCAAA